AAGCAAAGCAAAGCAAAGCAAAGCAAAGCAAAGCAAAGCAAAACAAAACAAAACAAAACAAAACAAAACAAAACAAAACAAAACAGCACAACACAACACACAAAAAACACAGAACAAACAAAATAAATAAATCAAAACATGACACACTGAAACAAAAAAAAAAGTTTCTAAGCTAGCTATAAATGAACTTTTTTGTTTGTTTTTAATTGAGTATTGGTGTGCATTGGTGTACATAGATCTATAGCCAGGGGTGCACATAAGTGGTATGCAGGTGTGCATGCGCGACCAAAATAAAAATTGTGCGGAGTAAATAAGTTCAGACTGCTCATTTGCGTACCGACATGATTGACAGCTGTTAATGCACAATTACCATTTTAGATCGACAAGCCGTAATACTATATAAGATTTCTATTCGAACTGAAAGCATAAATCTAGGCTATCCGCTAACGTTTTCAAAGCACAAAGCAAAACTTTGACATTTCATTCGTTCTTTGCTGACGCTCTTCACTCTGCAGCGCTAAAGATGGCAGCGCATATATTTACTTCCCAGCAACAAAGCTTTTATATATTATATATAAATTATATATATATATTAGCATTTTATTTTTTAAGTTTACTATAAAATAATTGTTTTTGTATTTAATACTCCCTTTTTATTTTAAAACACAATAGTATTATCACACTTTATTATTTTGTTTAATTTATTAAAAAAAATTAATAAAGTGCAATAATATTATTATCTCTATTATAATTTTTTATAGTTATATTTAATGGGTCACACTATGTGCAGTGTGAGGACCAAACCAAATCTCAAGGTGCTCTTTTGAGATCTAGGCTAAATAAAATATGTGCACCCCTGTCTATAGCAACAGTTATTCATCCAGTGATATTCAAATAATGCACAAGTGCATATATAAGTCATATATTCAGTCACACTGCACAGATCAGCGAACATTCTGTTTGGTGGATGATGCCATAATGTGTACTGTCCCAGTTTCCAAGATTGCAATTGCGTTTAACACAGTTTTTTTTTGGCATGTTTGTGACATTACCCAATTAATTTGCATTTTACAAGTGCATTAGGTGTTAAAATAATTGGCAGTGCGTGCAAATAAACAACACTCAATTTTTTTGTGAATTCCCCCACAAAGTTTGTTAGAACTATCAGCATCAAAAGGTGCATCATCTGGAAACCTGTTTAAGGAAATATTTTGCATCAGTGACTCTTGCATGGATCATACATACCATCACATTCAATATATCTAATTTGCTCCCTCAGCAGCTTGACACCATGTGCAGTAAGTGAGAGGAAGCAGGATAAGGGCTGACTGGATCTTGAAAGCTGAATGCCACTTCAACCATTTCACACACATAACTAATTAATCAGATAACTGGAGATGTAGAGACAGCTGTCTGCCTGTGACTGACAAAGCATGTCCTGCCCATCGATTAGCCTAAATTGAGCTGAATGTAAAGCATTGTGTTATCATGTAAGGAGACACACTGCTACTTCTCAGCAACAACAACAACAACAACAACAACAACAACAAAAAGACAGGCACACAAACGCAGAAGTAGAAGACTTATGATAGTAGAAAGCAATTGCTGATCAGCACTTTGCTCTCTTCTGAGTTAAAGGCTCCTGTTGCCATGAGGTGAAAAACAAGAGGCTCTTGCATCAGTTGAAGAGTGCTGAACCTGGCAGACAGAAGCTCTCTGTGTTCTTGAGGACAGTTGTACTCTCTTTTCTCCTCATACAGGTTAATATGAGTTTCAGAGCAGAAGAACACACCTCATGAGTGGAGCTTTGCTTGAACTCATTAGGATGTCATGAGATCTGGAGATTTCATGCACGGGAACCCAGTCATCCAATAAAAATCTGTGTCCAGTTTTGCAGTCACATAAACGTTTCACCAGTTTAGTGAGCTACATCGATCAATCTGTATGGAAGGCCAATGCGAGAAACCTGCCCACTGACACGACTCACCTTTGGGCAGTGTAGTGGAATGAAATGGACAGAACAGAGGAGGGAAGAAAGGAAGAGAGAAAGGAAATAAGAATAAGCTATTGTTCAAACAGGCAGTGGATTCTGTGGTCTATTCACATCTGGTTAGTTGTTTGATCATAATCAAATGTATGAAAATATGATCAGTTTAAAAAACAAAACAAAAAAAGAAACACACACACAAAACATTTGGGATGTGATACTTTAATGTCATACTTTAAATGCTCACATGTGAAATTCACAATGAATAAGTGAATAAATTAGTGGTTTTACTCACAGAATATGCATAAATGTGTAAACAGTTCAGAAATGCCTTTGATGCTTGTGTTGCCTCATGCAGTTTCCCACCTTGAATGGTGGTTGAGATTTTGAAGCCCAAAAAAGTGCATCCATCCATCATAAAAAGTACTCCACATGGCTCTGGGGGGTTAATAAAGGTCTTCTGAATCGAAGTGATGCGTTTGTGTAAGAAAAATATCCATATTGAAACCTTTACAAACCTTAATCTCTAGCTTCCTCTAGCTGTCGTATGCACGTTCACGACAGAGTGGTGTATATACCTAGGATGACTTGAGGGTGAGTGTGTATACCGTATATAGGAAACAATATCAGTTTCATGTCAACCTTAATTTTATTAGGGTCTCTTAAAAACAAATAATTTTGCAGGTGAAAAACAGACTACTATTATATTCTGCTATTAGTGTCATCCACACAAATTTATAAGCTTGTAGCGATTACACACATTATTTCCTTAAATTTTTTTTTCTAAAATTATTCTATTTAAAAAGGAACTGAAAGAAATCATGAGCTTAATCAGGATCAGCTGGTACTGTACCCTGGTTGGTTCTTATGCAACATAGCTCAGCACTGTGACAAGATGTCAGGATGAATATGAGCAGAGACAAAATGTTTTTGTCATTTTCTCTTTCCTTACATAGTGACAGCTACTGTCTTATGTCTTTTGGTGCTGTGCTGACTCTTAAGCCATTACTAAAGTAACCAGATAAATTCAGCAGATTTGATTTGGATAAAGATTGGAACTGGAAAACAAATCGGATTTTGAACTGATCACACTGAGAATGTACGTGTGAACAAAGCCTTGGAGATCTTGGGTTCTGGAAGGAAGCTAAATCAAAGGCACTCAAATTGAGGTCAAATGCAAATGTAATGACACACTTGTGTTGTGTGTGTGTTGTCCATATGAAACAGGAAAAAAACACTAAAAGTATAACAGCACTGATAGACTTTGCATACAATGGCGTGATAGCAGTGAACTTTAATGCACTATCTATATTTAATTAAGTGAGCTAAATGCATCCTAGCAGCTACACACACACACACACACACACACACACACACACACAAATGTACAGTTAATGATAATAAATGATTCATACCATGATATATTCTATTTTTTTCAGTTTCCTACATAGTTTTATATACGCACATAAATTCTATATTAATGCATATCAAGATAATTTTTTATTTGTTTTGATATTTTTAAATGTTCCAATGTTGCTTACATGCGTCACACCGCCAGCCCTACATGAAGGCTAGATGTAGATTGACGATTTGCTCCCAAATTGGATTAGCACAACCGAATCAGATCATATTTTCATTTTAATGGCCCATTTGAATGAATTTAATTAGAAATTTACATCAAAAAGAAAGACCTCTGTTAGGGAGCAATAATGATACTAGTGAGTTACCAGAATATTTTCCATCATGATAAATTCTGGAGAGGTTCCTCATGAAAAATGCCTGTGCTGATATTCTGCTGTGCATGGTGTGACAACACCGCTGCTTCAATTAGTCAAAATCACAGTAAATGGGCTGTATGAAGAATGACATCCTGGTCTCATGTGGCATCAGCTCTACAGCCACATTGTAACTAACACAGCCCTTAGTGACCCAGCTTTAAAGCTTTTAACAACTCCACTAATTAAACTATAACACCGTTTTATCACCCTCATAACACCGATAAGTATTAAGAAGCCTGAAATAAACAAGCAACACAATAAAAGAAAACATGCATTAGAAGCACTACCAGGAAAATCAATATGCATAAAAAGCAGTCAGAATGCAAGTATTATTGTACACTCAGATCATCGACGTGTCTTACCTGCGGTCGGGTAAGATGGGCACCCTCCAGCCCTTGATGAAGCTCAGTTTGTTGTCTGAGAGCTCCACTTTAAGGGGTAGTTTGGGCACCCAGACTGTGAGCTCAAGTGGGGCACTCAGGTGATCATAGCTGAAAATCACCCGAGCGTTCATGGAGCCACGCGTCTCTTTTCCATTCACAAACACATAGTCACAGTTCATGGACACCTGTTGAGGAAAGCAAAGAGAGATTTGATTGCTTTCACTGCATTCTCTGGAGAGGCTGCACAATACAAAAGCTCTTCACGAGCAACTGCAAGTGGATGTCGACTTGAAGTGGGGCTGTAAATTAAACTTTTTATTTGAATAAATCAAAATTAACCACATATATCAATATTTGCCAAGAAAAGCCCCCCAAATTGATGCTGGCTCCACAACAGACTGCTACCTAATAGTCTACACAGCATTGCATCACCAAAATGTGGACTCCTGTGGAGACTGAAAGGGCGTAGGGCATTTTTTCAGCATCTCACACAATGAGCAACACACTTTTAAGATGCTGTGTTATAAATGTGTTTTGAGACCACTGCATTGCACTACGTTCAGCTGTTTTTAAACCAAGAATGCATCCTATGTGAACGGCTCCACAATCATTTTATAAATGTGGTTTGCAATGCCAAGTAACCTGTAGCACTGCACGGGTAGGGAGTTAAAAGCAATATTTTTTTTTACCACATGCATCACATTATTTTTATATAATAATTGTACTAATTTAACACATTCAATTGAAAGGCGTAGTTTATTATTTTTCTTTCCAATCAATTAGCCCTAGAAAGGGTTAAAGTGTCATTCTGATTTACTCTCAAAAGCATCAAGTAAAATATAACAATAATGCATTCAAAAGTATTTTTAATAGCAAAAGAGGTCTTTTAACTTAAAACATGTTTCCTAAACTAACACCCCAACACACATACATTTTTAAACCTTCATGTTTTTTTCCTGCTATTCCTTCCAGTCTGCCAACACATTTCACACAGTCTTTAATAATAAATTATTTACTGTAATAGAAAGGCAAAGCTTTGCTTTGGGGTACCAACTATGATTTATCCCGGGGTCTTAGGCAGCTGACACTGTAGAACGTAATCTCCCTCAAATGGAGGTCGGGAGCTGCAGTCTATCCAAGACTAGAGATTCACCATAGTGGGGATATCAGCGTAATAAAATATGTATGCTTGCTAGACAGCTACCCCTCTTATCCATACCATCAATATGGAGAATTGATCAGAGGAGATGGCCCACTCTCCCCAGTAGCCTTTAGGAGAATCTGCGGGAAAACTCTGCTTGCCCACTTCATTTCTTTTTTAAAGGGACTGCTATTCAGTGGGAAAAAAACGATGAATCATACTACTGAAAAACTGACATATGATGAAAGTGCAGAGAGGATAACAGCAGTGAGGGGGAGGTACAGAGAGCGCTTTTCTTGTTTAAATGAAACATTTCCTTGGCCTAAATCTAGATGTGAAGAATCAGGTAATCTTGTTAGTAAGGTTTTGATAGTTGAAAAATGTCTTTTATTGAGATTAATTAAGATTAGATTAAGATTTTTCTTAGTTTTATTATGATTATTTTAATGCTAAAATGCTTTCTCCTATCTTAATATGTAGTACAAAGATCAGTACTGCAAAATAGGTGAGCCAGGAAACACTTACGAGTAACTGATTGGTTCTTCCAAACCAGCAGCACAGCCAATCAATCTCTCTTTCCTATCTACACAACCTTATTCCCATCCCAACCTGGTCCAGCTCAGTACTGCATGCCAAGATAATTTTTTTAGCCCTCCACCTCCCCAGCACCACCTGTCTAGTTCTACCATGAGGTTCTCCCTCACCTTCAGCAGCAACAGCATAGCAGATCTAGTCTGCCAAGATCAATCCTACTATTGTTATCAATAAATTGCTGTTAAATCTATATTGAGAGTTGCCATTATTGAACTATAAGTAAATTACTATGTGGCAGTATCAATATATTGCTCTGTTTGCATCCCAACCAGCCAGACACCGCAACGCTGGCTCAACCAGTGGTGTAAGTTCAGGTGGTACTATGTGTTTGTGCAACCACTGGCAGACAGGGGGAGTGTTTGAGAAACCTGTTTGAAACAGTCATTATTTTTGCAATGCTATTTGGCATTGCTAGAGGAAATTACACCTTTAAATTTCAGTTTGCTCATCACACAAAACCTTTAATGAAGACTGTGGTGTATGTCTCTTTAAAAGCGTTGTATAGTCATATTAACCACTTTTATGGGGCTTTAAAGTATGCATAACTGTTCATTTTTATTGTATGGAACTGAGCAGCTCATTACAGAAGAGCTGTAATTACAGAATTTTAATTTTTGGTTAAACTATTCCTTTAATAGTAATATCAATACTAGTAATCCCAATTAAACTCACTACTGTTGCTATCAATAGGTGCTGGTGACACACAACAAAAGCAGCAGTGTTAAGCATGTCCTGTCTGGTTCTCAGTGCACTCTACAATCTCGTAAATGTGTTCCTGCTGTGCCACTTCTGTTGATGTGAGCTCAGTCTTGACCCACTTGCACCTGGGGCTTCTAATAAACTTGGATGGATAATTTGAAGTCAAAAGCAGTTAAGGACTGTGGGTGTCACTAGCCAGCAGGGGCCAGCTGAAAGTACTTTTTACGTGCCAGCCGGCAGTCAGAGTTCCACGGAGTCACTAATCTGCCCTGGCACCTTGCGTGGTTCCAGAGAAGTGGCAGGGGCGAGGTCAGGATAGTGCCACCCATTGAGACGCCTCCAGTTCAACACACCCGCCAGCTGTGTTTAATCCAAAAAGCACCCCCTGTAACCCTCCACCATCCAGACTGCCATCACACAGTTAGGCAGATGCACTTTTATCTGTGTTGATGGTATCATGTGAAGGCCGGCAATACATGGTTAAAGACGAACATACTGCCTACAGCTTGAAGCACAAACTGATGATTTAATTTAATATGACAGCTAGCTTCACGAACACAAACAGAATGTTTTCACACTTAAAATACTGGTCTAAATTGGGGAGTTCCAGTCCTGAATGCTTATTGACAAATACAGCATTCCAACTCTGCTAAATTTAGGCAATAATGTACAAGAAACCAAGCAATATTATAGTCACAGGGAAAGGTTTAATTAAAAAAATTAAATTAGGGATGCACAATATATTATAAGATTTATATACAATATATACAATAATTACAGATTTATTAGTATTGACTGATATTGGATTTTTTTTTTAAATACAGCATGCTTATTTCTCTTAGTGTTATTTGTTTTCATGTATTTGTTTTGCTGTTAAAGCTCACCTTAAGTTAATCTTAGAAACATAGTAATAATTTTATAACACTGTTAATTGTTGTATTTGTTGAAATGATTGACTTCTCTTTTTAGTAATAATTTATGCAAACAAAATGGTAATACATTTTTAATACTGTCAAATTATTGGTTATCATATGTAAAATAAAAGATTTTTTAAATTTACGTAATTACATTTTTATTTTATTTTATTAATTTATTTATTTGTTTAAATTAATCATCGGCTTACTGTATCTGTATTGACCAGAATTTTAAAACGGGTGCATTCCGATGTAAAATGTTATTTTGTAACATTTACATCAAAGCAATTACTATGTGTATTTCATAGCACTGCTGGAATTCTGTATTTACCAATCAGTATCCAGGACCGGAACTATCCATTTCATAATATTTATGGTTTACAATAAACCTTGGATAGGAGAAAGCATTTTAACATTTAAAAAATATACTCACATCATCACATCAAAGGCAGAAGATTTGCTTTTACTATACAGTACATTTTATGTATTATTCAGGCATTGACTGCACTTGACTGTACCGGAATCAAAGTATGTGACTCATCTAACTAAGGCTTCTACTTTCTATGCGTGGTTATTCATGTCTAAATGTGTTTGCTGTGTTGGAAATGTGTGCAGTGAGGATTCTGGCTAAGCAGTGGAATGGAATGGGAACTGTAGTGTGTATCAGAGCCTTGAGAATAGAGATCAGCTGGGACAGACAGTTTACAGCTTCCTGCTCCCAAACACAAAGCCCCACAGGGTCTCATCATTCAACACTCACATATAATATTCAAAATAATGTAGACGTTCATTACAAACACAAACAAACACACACAAATATCTCTACCATCCAAATGTGTGCAAAAATGTCAAAAGATACATCTCGCTTGTCATATGAGTTTTATTACCAGCCTCTATATAGAACCTGCAGCAAACATGATAATACAAGTAATTTCCATGCGTGTAGCATATAATGTCCCTCTCACAGCCATGCATGTACCCATCTGTTCTGGCGTCCCTATCCAGAAGTAAAAGCTTCGCCTCTAGGCGAATAAGCCATGTTACAATAGATACTCGTGACCACCTTTTGAATGAGATAAGCAAAAAAGATATTACTGGCTCCTGTAACCTTTGCCTTCTGTATGACGCTTTTTCGCCACTGCACAGAGCTTTTTATTGAACTGTCAGGACTCATGTTGTCTCAGCTTGAAGGGCTCATCTCGAATTAGCTTCCAAAGTTCAATGGCCCAGGCGGCCAAGCAAACCCACTCAGTAACACCAGAGCTAATGCTCTGCCCAAGCACTGCGGCACACACAGCTATTCTGAATCTTAAAACAGATCAACAACGAATGCCCTCACGGCCCGTCTCGGATGACTTATGGATCTCAATCTTGCCGGACAGATGACACTCTGAGACAAATTATTATTTCTCTACATTTTGGATACAGTTTATAGTCGAATTGGATTTCTACTTTTAGATTTTGTCATGCCATGGAACAGATGGCGAAGATTGTTGACATGATTGTTTTCTTCAGCAAAGGATGCATTTTCGGGCCTGTATAAGCCCTCAGGTGGAACCAACTGTCCCCTTGTGCAAATACAGATACATAAATTCATTAATCGACTCAAATATACAAGCTTAGCGGTTGAATTGAACTATCGGTAAGCCCCGCCCCCCTTAGTTATTGTTGCTCACTCGGACAAACAAACGGAGTTGCTCACTGTCTTACAATGACAGCTGTCAGTGAAAATCTTCTTCTGAGGTGTTTCTGATAAATTTGGGACACAGATGGACCTTCAAATGGGACTTAAATATGCCATGGAGGGATATTAAAATAAATATGTAAAAATACAGAT